CACATTCTTACTCCGTTGCTTTGAAAACCAATTTAACAAACGGCAGACGCCATGGGATGCTCGAGAGGACCAGGTGTGGGGCGGGAGGGAGGTGGGCTGCTTATGCGACAACCAGGTCAAAACATCTCCTCAAGATCTGTATAATTAGACGTGACTTTTGCTCAAGTTTTTCCTACTTATATGCATGGGTGTGTGTGTGTGTACTTGTTTGTGTGTAGGACTGACTGCATGTTGTTCAAAGTATTGTTGTTATTGTTATTTGTGCCAAAGCTTGGCCTCTGGCTGGTGAGGTTGCTCTGAGGATTGAGGTTAGCAGCACCACAAGTACCAAAGCCAATTATGTGAACACTAAACAGGGCAAGTGTCAAATCCCAGCCTTTATCCAGTATATATACAGTTGCATAACAAAGTTCAGATACATTTATACATTTGCTAGCATTAACAATAAAGGAATGCTTGAGTCGAGAGGTCTCAACTCTTAAATACCCTGTGCCTACCCCACAACAACAACAGCAATTCTTTTTTTCTTGTTTTTTTTTTATTGACGGACATCTATCTGATCAACTATATACTTTGAGGAGTCTGTCTGTGTCTGTGTATTTAATACATTACCACTAAGCAAGTATACTCTTTTACCCTTTGGTTACAGAGTATACAAAAATTTGGCACAAATTTTGCAAATCAAGTTTTACAAAGTAAAAGAAATTTGTAAATAAATTGTTACACATCCCCCCAATACAACCTGGAAAACTTTTGAAACGAATCCAGGTCATCAGTCTGCAAAGACAAAAATTATTTTGGTCTAACAAACGAATTGCTCATAAAATAGTTGTCTCTAAAATTTAGACAATGGTAGACATTATAGAAATGGTCTATCGACCCCTATATAGTATATTTAAACCTATCAAAAAATTATTATTAATTGGGTATAGGATTCGCCGAACATTTTTCTTGTCTAAATAGTTGATTGTACCGAATGGATTTGTAATTTTTTAGTGGACGTGCATGCCTATGCATGTCTATGCGTGTCTGTGTAAGCATGTATGTATGCAGCACAAAGTTCAACCAAAGCAGCGGCAACAACAACAGCTGCGGGCAACCCTTGTGTAGGGAGAACCTATATATGGCAATAACTTCCTTTAAAATCTGCCTATCATAATGAAATTTAGCGTACGGAATCATAATCACTAACTGAAAGTACTTACGAAATTTGTCATGTACAGAGTATAATAAAAATGTCTACCGATTGATGCCTAAATGTTGGCAACATCACAAATAATTACTTTAAGCCTCTGTCATATGCATATGTAGAGAGCTAGTCAAGGCTCGTTTTTGCTGGAGCATGGGTATATTACTTAAACAAATATATAAATACTATATACACACATTGACAAATTAATCAGCTTTGTGTTTTCCCTACAGATATCCGACCCGGTCTCATTCCGTTTATCCCCAATCTCAATGCCAAGAAAATAATCTGCTTACACACTCTGCCTGATAGACACGGCTAATACGTATATGAGCAGCGGAAGTGAAGGCGCCTTTTAGTCTTCCGCCTACATCCCAAGCACCCACAGACATTTCTTCTTCTTTTGCAAATTGAAAAAATGCGAGATAATTACATATTTTTATGTGAATTTTTCAATTTATATTCCGTCAAATAAACGCTGCGTGCATATTTTGCGATGCGTCAGCGACGTCAACAGCCATTTTATTATTTTTGTATGAGCAGGAAAAAAAGTACGAAAGATGTCGTATACTGGCAGCCACATTACAAGATGGTTTTGCCGCTTATGTAGATTACATTAGGAATAACCTTGATAAATATATAAATAACTTGGATTTCAAAATGTCGTCAGAGCTTTCATAAACTGTCCTTAGCGAGTGCACACACCCAAAAGTTTTAGCAGCTGCAATAACCTAACATAAAACAAGAAAGGAGTGCTAAAGTGGAGCAGGCTCAACTCTTAAATACCCTGTACCACCCCACAAAAAACAAAAATTATTAATAAAATTTTATTAATTTAATTAAATAATTTAATTAAATATAAAATATTCCCTGTACCACCCCACAAAAAAAAATTATTAATAAAATTTTATTAATTTAATTAAATAATTAAATTAAATATAAAATTAAGTATAAAATATTCCATACATGCACACATACATTTACATGAAAGCAGCAACAAATACAGCTGCGGACACAGCTTGAGCCTGGTTATATGGCTATAACTTTATTTCTAATCAACCTATCATAATGAAACTTTACGGATATATAATCATTAACTGGATGTAACTACCAAATTTTAGTTCAAAATTTCAAAAATTACGGGAGTTATAGAAAATCGTGAATAAAGGGGGAGTAGGGGGTGCATCAGGAGAATCTGGATACCAAGTTTGGTTATTCTAGCTCTTATAGTTTCTGAGATCCTTGCGTTCATACAGACAGACAGACGGACAGACGTACATGGCTATATCGACTCATATAAACATTTTTTTTTCAGCATAACATTGACTGTTAACAAGATAGAATGTAATGTCAAGCAAGCACGGCTGTGATATGTCCTGCAGCCAAAAAAAAAAAAAAAAAGGCTTATAGCTGCAGCAAAAAGAAGAAGACTAGCAACCTCCCTGCTGCAATTTGTGGGCATAGTACTAGAGTAAAATCGCCGAACTTTTTTGTAGAACTAACCGATTTAAATTATAATTAATAGTAGTTATTTATATATTTTGCAAAGTTCATTTATATATGTATGTTCATGTGTGTGACTCTGGAATTGTTGACAGTATTGATAAAACTTTGTAGCCTGGAGGGAAGGGTTTCTTAACATTCGGACAACAGGGTGTAAAACAAAGTACAAAGGTCAAATGCACTCAAAAGGTAGACGTAGTTGTGTGTTGTTAAGTTTTGAAACATAACAGCCAGGTGCACTAAGCTTGGTGCAGGCGCAGCATCGATCCATAGAAAAATCAGACCTGGTAGAATAACATTTTTGTTTACAAAAAAATATCTCAAGCAAGTACTCTATCCTCTATATAAACTTTATGCATATCCTACTCTGATTTTTCATTTCAGAGTATTTTTTGATTATTTGTCATTTGGTCATCCATGGTAACTATTCGCGACCTGCTCGGCATTCATATACTTACCATCCAGTGTGACAATAAGATTCTGAAATATGCTGCTTAACTAATTCCAATATTTTCATACATAAACAATTTCGTGTGTAGAGTATCGATATGAATTAGTAAACTTATTAATTAAAAACTCTGGATGCAAAGCTTCAACGTAAATTACCTAAAACTATGAAAGTGATAGTGAAATCGACATCACGATTCGTCTCGCAACCAAAAAAAATTAAACAATCCCTTGTTGGATTCGGAATAAGATTAATGTGAGCTAAGTCGTTTCCAAAATACAGGGGTTCATCCATACATATGCATTGACTTACCAATTTTTGTACAGATGCTGACAAATAATCTGTTTCCAAAAGAAACTTCCGCTGCTGTGTTATGTGCGTATAGCAAATATTTCGTTGATAACCTTTCTTGGGATTAACTGATTCAAATGAAATTTGAAATATATGTAGAACCTTTCATATGAATTATGTCCAGTCAATATCCATTTTCGACCAGAAATTTCAGCAACAGATTGATTCTCCGGCTATATACATACATACATATACATATGAGTTCAGATAACGAATATGTTTTTTATATTTTACAAACATATTTAACTTAAATACATAACTCTTGGTTGGCATTAAGCTCCTCTCCTCTCGGTGCCATAAAGATCGGGTCTTCGTTGGCTAAACAAAGGTATTTGCTGTCGCGCTTGTTCCACTAATGAGAAATCTAGATCCGCCACGATAATTTCTTCGCCAGCGCCGGCTCTTTTTACGATTCTCGCCCAAGGGTCGACTATCATTGAATGACCATAGACCACGTATGACTCATTTGGATTATGCGCCAAGGAATTAGTTGATTATCCCACTGTAGAGGACCTGTAGCAGTGCTAAATCAAGCTGGGCGGATACTCATTTCACATCCTTCATTGCGGTACAAACGAATTATCTCCTTGAACCGTATGTCATGGCAAATGATAATGCCCTTCTTATGTCGGGTATGGTAAATGAATGTGTGGGACCAGGATTGCAAAATTATTCAGGCAATGTTATCCTTTACAGTGCTTTCAATTTATTGTTCGGCATTTTGGATATTTACAATTTTATCATTTGTAAGCTTCAGCTGTAAAACAGCTAACCGTAAAACTAAAAACAAATATTTATATCACCATAAAAAATGGTGGAAATTATTTTAATCTTACTATTGCTAGCTATCGTCATGCTTAGTTAATTAAGGACACGCATTACACCATAATTATAACTCGTTCTCTAGGCCTATTAAGCCGTAAATAGCGCTGGCAGAAAATATTTGTACTTTTTTATAGGAAAATATTCAAGAAGTTTGGTTCAACGTTCCTGTACAGATTTGTCAGAAGTTGGTATCCTTTATGCCTGTGAGAATCCTTTGTTCCTTTTTTTTAATATATAAACGATTATTAAACCTATTAATATATGTAAAACTCGGTTTAACGACTGAGTTGTTAGAAAGACTAGTGCTGTAACATATAAGTATTTGTTGCACTAGGAACTATTTACCAATAAATAAATAAATCAAAAAATCATCAAGAATAATGGCGGATATTCAGTGTGTTCTAATCAATTCAGTACAATATGGGACTTTAAATGGCAAAAATGCAATATTTATTACTAATTTTGTTGGGCACACCTATTATTAACCAAACGCCAAGTTATTTTTAATAGTTGGTGGAACTATTTATTATTTCTTTTGTCGCTGAAGTGTTTCTTTCAAAAACTAACTCATTATTTGAAAAAAAAAATTAAATATGAAAGCCAAGCCTTTTTTTTAAAAAAAAAAATGTATATATGCTCACCTATTTTTCTGTCCAGGCGCGAATATAAAATAAAACCACTGGATTTGTATAATTTATATGTTGTATTTGTATTGTGATTAGTTAAATGTTATATATACTTTATGCGTTTACAAATGTCTCAGCAAGGGGTGCGTTTGATCGCACGTGCACACACAGTCATACATACAAGTATATAACTTACATGTTACAATGTTATTTTTACCGTTATTTAGATGAATGTCGGTTGCTCCGTCAACGCGCTTGAGAAAAGAATGGAAAAGGTGAGTTGTGCAAAAAGGAAGTGACAAACAAATGCAATTTCCATACATTCATAATGTACAAAAAGAACAATGAAAAAATGTAAAATAAAGCAACAAGCACACGGGAAAATAATAGAATAATAGATAAAGAGAATAATAGATAACAGAGTCAAAAAATGGGAAAATGAGATGAAGCAAAATGATTGAAAAAGCATCTTTTCTGCAAAAAGCGCAGAACGCACGAATCAATTTAATTTAAACGCTGAGTGACTGGCAACTTTTTGCGACGACGTCGCAGCTGCTGGCTACGATCCCAGTACTCATAATAGCGTTCCTGTTTTAACCACTCTTGATATTTATACCACCATTCCTCCCATTTGATGTAGTCCTGAAACGAGTTATTAGTGTTACATTAACAAGCATTGATTTGATTTTGCTTTTTTGTATCCACCTTCAGATCCAGATCGCGCAAATAACCGCGACTCTTGTAGTATTCGTAACGGACGCGTACGTCATCCCACGACAACATGCCCGACGGTGCTGTTGTGGCCAACTCCTCCGGAAAGTGGCCAGCCGGTGCCGGCGAATAGGAGTAACGACGCGGTGGCGTTTCGAGCCCCTCCTCGATCATTACCTTAAGCGCGCCGCCGGTCGAATCTTTTGTGATGCGCATATTTTCCATATTGCTGCGATCGATGCTCCATTGTGCCATTTTCCCGAAGCGCTCAGACAGCGTTAGCCGCGTTGTGGCCGAGAAGCTGGGCATGGCTTCATCGCTGTCCGAACCACCCGAATCGTCCGAATCTGATGAAGAGTTACCATTGGCAGCGGCGCTGGACGATGCTGAGGCTACGTTGCCAGCGTTCGGATGTTTTTTACGTTTCTCACCCTCGATTTTGATGCGCGGCCGAAGCTGAAAGGAAATAAATAATCGTTAATTAATTAATAAAATGGTGTTAAAGTCGCAATCCCAAATATACATTTTGATCCCTTGACTATCACCCTGAATAATCACCTCTTTTTCCTTCTTTTTCTTTTTTGCTTGTGGTGGAACGCCAGTCGAGGCAGCAGACGCGGGCTCTGGTGGCTCTGGCGGACGATGCTTGAGACGCGGATCTTCCGGCGGCGGCGAGTGACGTGTTGCGCGTCCGATTTTCATGTGCATATCCGACGAAGCACTACGTTCATGACTAATATGTCGCATTTTGCCATCGCGGTATTTATCGATACCAGGCGCGGCTCGCACAGGCGGCGGAGTACTTGGCCGTCCATGAATGCGTCCATGTGACTCCGGCGGTGGCAAAGGCGGTGCAGGCCCACCTGCCCGATAATGGCCCCGTGGCTTTGGCGGCGGGGAACGCGGACCGCGCGAACTATATGACGGCAAATAAGAATCATTAATTTGATGATGAGAAACTCTGGAGCAAAGGCATATACTTACCGAGATCTATGACGATGGCTGGGCGAACAGAGCGAGCAGGAATCATCAGAGCTGCTACTCATTGAGCTGTTGGAACGCGAACGTAACGGATGCTACAATAAAATATGACAAAATAGCTATCAGCATTAATCTCAAGGTGGGCATAAAAGAGTGTCTTACCCGCGGTGGTGGTGACGGTGGACGCTTGGAGCGTGGCAATATATGTGCTCCACCGATGACACCACGTTTATCAGCTCCACCTGAAGGTGGTAACGGAGGTGGTGGAGAACGACGTCGACTCATTGGCGAACGCGACGATCTAGGTTTTCGGCGTAGCGCCGACGACGATGATGCCGCCGACGGTTCGGGTGGGGATCGAGGTCGCCCATAACCGCCAGGACGACGCATCAAATCGTTTGGAGAACGCGCCCCCATGCCGCGCGGTGGGGGTGAACGCGGACGACCACGCAGTGGTGGGTGCGGCGATGGAGGCGACATACCGCGACGATCCATGCTATGCATAGGCGGGCCCGGTGGAGAGCGACGTCGCGGCGGTAACGGCGACAGCGGTGGAGATTTACGCAACCGAGACCGACTTCGAGAACGAGATCGAGCATAACGTGGTGGGGGACCAACTGGTGCGGAGCCCACACCCGAATTGTAACGACCGTATGCATTGCTACCACCGCCATCGCGTTCACTCTCGCCAGAGCTGCTTTCGCCCTGTATGTACATCTTCTTGTAGCCGGTGTGTCGCCATCTATTCGGATCTTTCTCCTCGGCTTCAATCAACTTCTTATCCCAATAATCGTTAGTAGTATTGGCACGTGCCTTCTTCATCACGTTGTCTATTTCGCGACGCTTGCCAGCGGGTAGCGAAGGATCTAAAATAGACATAAGAATGGGAAATTAAGCAAATTGTTTATATGAGCGTAAACAGCAGCGGTTTATAGTACAACATCGGTATAGATACCAGAAGTCTAAATATTAAATTTAACCCCTGGCGTTTGAGGATCAACAGTTTTCATTTGTTATTTCATTTAAGTTCTGCTTTTTATTTTATTTTACTTTTTAATACATTTATTATTGTTTTTGATTTTTCTCATAAATTGGTTCATAATTTCAGAACATACATATTATATGTGATAATTCACAATTTAATAAGCTTATGTGGATTAGTTAATGGGTTTTATCTATCGGATTTCACTTTCAAGTGCAATATATATATACTCAAGAGCTTACTTCAGAAATGATATAAAATGTTAATAACTTTTAAAAGTGCCTATTTTTCTCCAATTACCAACGAATCGAACTTATTACATATATACGACTTTGTAGTTTTTATACCCAAAGTATATATGTATATGGTTAATCTTGGGATGAAACGACCCGATATAGCCAGGCTTATTCGTCCGTCTTTAGGATTTTAATTTATAATGATTTGGTCTAATAACCACAGGAAAACTAACATTTTAAGAATCTATCTCATAGAAATAAACAAAGTATGGTACGTTTTTTAAATTCCACGAAAAACAAAGACAATATTTCGTGATGTCAACAATTGATCCAGCGAAAAGGGCCAAAATATGAGACATGGCAACCCGTTCAAATCACACGCCCAATCAACAAGTTGCCCAATTGATGGCTACACATATGTATGTACATAAGAATCGTCTTTAAATCTACCAAAAGGTTTAGTACCTGTTATGCGTGCCGCTGTGGGCTGCCTGTCCATATGCAATTTTGGATTTAAATCGGCGCGTCTGCGCGACGCCATTCTGCAATTTTTTTTAGCAAACGCGAGCACGCGCGAATTATTCAACGATAACAACGGTAAACAATTTTAAAACACTTTCATTCAGATATATATTTTTTATTAATAATATTTCACAAAAAGCTGCAAATACAATTACAATTGATATTTATTTAATAAACTTGGCAAGGAAAAGGCGTTAACCAACAATGAAGAGGAGATAATGAAATAAATTACAACAATTGCACACCTGTGCATTTGATATTGCAGTCCATCGCGCGAGGCAGCATCAGTAAAGGCGCTCGCGCCGCAATGTAAAAGCATGCCCAACACCCACTCTAAGGCAAGGACACGCCCATTGCGTTAAAAAAAATTCAACGGCTGAAAACGTAAAAGGTAACGCGCCCGATCGCGGCTGCTTAGTTGCGCATACGGAACCGGGAATCAAGGATCCAGCCATGCCCCGACGCGTAAATATAATCGATGTGCGAACAAATTGCATGGACACAAATGTTTTTGATTGTTTTCATGTCTTTTGTCTTTGCCAGCTGTAGTCTCAACCGGTAGCCATGGCATTTTTTTCACGTAAATAAAAAGAACAACATAAGTTCTTTGGAATGTTTTTTGCGTTCTTGCAGCGCACCTTCGCATACACAAGCATAGGGCAATCCCGGATATAATATATTTCTATTTTTATTAGACGCACATAAATACGTTAACTTTTTTTTGCTTTGTCAGCAGAGCACCCGACCCGACCGAATACCGACACCCGCGACGACTGGGACGAGAGCGATAGCGACGCAAGCACTCTTTTCCAACGACTTTAAGCTAGTTAAAACGCTAGTAACAAGCACTAAACTAATTTGCTTACATTTTCATTCGTATTGCGTGCAAGCTTTTATTTGGCTGCTTCAAATAAGCAATGCAATAAACTCACGACGAACAAAATATAATTTCTCCCAATAAAATCTTCACGCAATTTCGGCCATATTGTATTGGAGATGTGCAAGCATGATTTAATTATATATCTTATCGAATTTCGCCTCTGGTCAACACCAAAACCATTATTATCGATAAAAATTTGTTGTGAATGGCAAACACACACACGTGGTTCTTTCTTGCGCGTAAGAGTACAGCAGTTTGAAGCGCCGCGTGCCTTTCCGGAGATTTAATTTCTATAACTTCTAATTTACAACATCGGTACAGTCAATTATGGGTAAACCAGGCAAGTAACATATATTTAAAGTGAAATACATCGTTGGATGGTTGTTTGCACAATTCCAAGCACATCATTTTTAACCTCTCTGTGGCTTAAAAAAATGCGGCTCGTATATACTGAAAAAAAAAAATATTTTTATTGCAGGATTTAGTCCACGCGGTGGTGGTGGCGGCGGTTTCGGTGGTCGCGGCAGTGGAGGAGGTGGTGGTGGCGATCGAGGCGGTCGAGGAGGTGGCTTTGGTCGTAGTGGTGGCGGTGGTGGTGGCGGCGGCGGTAGAGGAGGTGGAGGATTTGGTGGACGTGGCGGCGGCGGACGTGGTGGTGGACGTGGAGGAGGAGATGGGGGTGGCCGACCCAGTTTTGGTCGTGGAGGTGGCGGCGGACGTGGCGGTGGTGGCCGTGGAGGAGGACGCGGCGGCGGTGGACGTGGTGGCGGCCGAGGCGGTGGCGCTGGCGGATTTAAAGGCGGCAAAACTGTCACAATTGAGCCACATCGTCACGAGGGTGTTTTTATTGCCCGCGGCAAGGAGGATGCACTTGTTACACGCAACTTTGTGCCTGGCTCCGAAGTGTATGGCGAGAAACGTATTTCCGTTGAGGTACGTAACTGGTATTTCCCTCTTGTTTTTCTGTCAAATTTCTATGGCCCATGATGAGGTTGTGCAGGGGTACAGAACATGGCAAACTGTGGCCATGAGCCGCCGTCGCATCTATCGGTGCTGTGTGCACTTTAGGTGCACATGAAGCAGTTGCCGTTGGGCGGTGGTGCGCTTAGAACTATAGCACAACTGAGGTCAAATCGCAAAAACGCGTCCAAGAATGATATCGTCTTTTATAAGCCTCTCAATTCTAATCTTTCAATTCTGTAACTTGTTTCACAGACTGGCGGCGAGAAGATTGAGTACCGTGTGTGGAATCCGTTCCGTTCCAAGTTGGCTGCTGCCATTCTAGGCGGTGTGGAGAAAATTCACATCGCGCCTGGCTCCAAGGTGTTATATTTGGGTGGCGCTTCCGGAACTACCGTGTCGCATGTATCCGATGTTGTTGGACCCGAAGGTCTGGTCTATGCCGTTGAATTCTCTCACCGCTCAGGTCGCGATCTGATCAATGTGGCAAAGAAGCGTACGAACATCATACCGATCATTGAAGATGCACGTCATCCACACAAGTACCGCATGCTAGTTGGTATGGTGGACACGATTTTTGCAGATGTGGCCCAACCCGACCAGGGACGTATTGTTGCCCTGAATGCGCAGCATTTCCTTAAAAATAACGGACATTTTGTCATATCGATTAAAGCGTCGTGCATTGATTCGACGGCGCAACCTGAAGCAGTATTCGCTGCGGAAGTCAAGAAGATGCAGGCTGACAAGCTGAAACCACAGGAACAACTGACGCTGGAACCCTATGAACGTGATCATGCTGTTGTTGTGGGCGTATATCGTCCACCACCGAAGCAGTGAATCGCAATTTTTGGGGCGTTGTTAGTTTTAAGACTACCTTCATTTATCCAAGCGTTTTGTATTAAGTTTCTTTTATAAATATAGATAAACCATAGTTTTACAATTAAATCAAAATGAAGTTTATTTGTAACATGCACAAAACTTTAAAAAGAGAATCGGACATTATTAATTTAAAAATATAATATAAAAATACTGCAAAAAAGCGGCATTGGTCACCGTAAAATGTGTCGCTGCGGACAGGATTCGAACCTGTGCGGGTAGTACCCAATGGATTTCAAGTCCATCTCCTTAACCACTCGGACACCGCAGCTTGTCGAACGGCGGCACAAATATACTATATAAAGAATTGAAACCAAAACGCCACCTATACGAAATTTGTGGCAAATTAGTACAAATACAACCCTGGACAGTTGCTTGCACTTTGTCGCCACCAGAAAAAAGCTGCGGTGTCCGAGTGGTTAAGGAGATGGACTTGAAATCCATTGGGTGCTACCCGCGCAGGTTCGAATCCTGTCCGCAGCGTCGATTGTGTATATGCGATATTTAAAATATATGGAGCCCGATAGTCGTTTTTTTAAATTTAATTTTATTAAATTAACGTCAATTTTTCACGATCATGTATTTCACAAAGACAATAATAATAACAATGCAATTATTAACTTACAGTCTAAGCAAAAATATTCAACGGCACAGGGACGCAGTTAACTTTTCAGCGAACCAGTACAAGACAGAGACAAACAAAAACACGTACATATATGATGTGTAATTAAATGTATAAAATCGCAAAATCTTAGTGTAAAACGTGCACAAAATGCTTTGCGAGAACGTAAAATATAAATTGAAATATTTAATGTAAATACTGAACGCCAGGATCAAATTTAGTTATGCTTTAATAAATTACATCAAATGTGTCCAACGCAAATATCATTAAAAACAAAACCTAATACAGTTTATTTATAGTATATGTTCAAATTTTTTCAAAATTGTGAATAAGGCATCGATTTCAAAATAGAATACTCGTATGTGCATGCATTTTGAAGAATGTACGATTGTATATTCTTCGGAGTTAAGTTTATTGTTACAATGGGTTCTTATCTTTCATTTTACGTTCTTACAAGACCTTTTCGTTTTCCTTGCTTGTATACGCGCACATTTCTTATGTCGTTCTCATATATAGTTATCACCGCCAATATTGTTACGCTGTTTACAATTTGGCACGCTTTGGCACACCAACCGAATCCAGAACACCGCACAATTCCAAATGCTTGAACAGCGCCTCCAAATATTCATCGCGATGTTTCACATAATGGCCGGCGTGTTGCGACCGTTCCCAGCATTTGAAGGTCACCTGTTATGCAATAAAAATAAAATGTTATTTAATTTCCAATCTAATTTCAAGCTATAACTCTACCTTAATATTAGCGCGTTCCCAATTTTCGCGCACGGCCTGATTCGATTTTGGTGGACCAATCAGGTCATTCTCTGAGACGAAGAACAAAGCCGGAGCCTTGAGAATTGTGGAGTGAAACATTTGGCTGGATCGCATATAATGTATGGTCGCCTGATTGTGGAATGTCTTCAGATGGTAGAGCGTATAATTGCGCAATGCGCTCTGCATGCGTGCATTTTTCGGAAATATTGACTTGGGCACACCCACGGGTATTTCGGTAATATCGGCAGCACTGTCCCAAATCTGGCAGGCAAAACGATCAAGAATACTGCCATAACGTGCCATATCGCGAGACATTTGCAACATAATTTCTCCAAATTGATAGGCGCCCACAGAGAAGCCATGCATCACAATAGGCGCGTATGATTTATTGTTCTCCAGAAATTTTAGAGTTTCTGCGGCTACGACCTATTCGAGTAGAGAGCAATTTGTTATTTAGGGTTCAGATCGACTCAGTACAGAATCAAGGACCCACTTGCGTGCCTTTCGTTGGCCAGAGAAGCTGCCAGGGTGTAATATGGACGACCATCACATCGAAACCCATTTCAGTGTAGATCTCGGCATATTTCTTCAAGTGCTTCTGCTTGGCCATCAGCCAAGCCATCATCATAACAAGTGGATTATTGCCTGTGGGCTTCTTGAAAGCTAGTGTCTGTGGATCCACTTCGATATTGGCCTTGTTGTTCGTATATAATGTCATATTTTTGGTTATATCCTTGGAGGATATGAACCGGCGAGATTTTAATGGTGCCATTGCGCTCTGAAGAAAGTAAAGATAGAGCTCATTAATAGTATATTTCCTGGTTATTGAGCAACAAGTGGTATTGGGACTATTTGATTTGTTATTGTTGTTGGTTACAATCTATGCATGCTTGGAGTTGGCGCATATAGGATAGGTCTGGTCAATTACTTGATTAGATACGTGTGGCTTTAGTGGCGCGTTAGACTTATGGTTTATTGATTAGATAGAAGCTAAGAAGACTTTGGCATGCAGCTCAGCTGTTAAATGCCATAAAAAAATTAAGTGGATGATCTAATTACATATATGGACTTATTTATTTGTTGTGGAACTGTCCAAAATACTTATTGTTATAGTTCACCTTATTTCATTATACGCTTTTTAAATCTTTAGTGAAAGGATGGAAAGGAGGATGAAAGCAACTAGCAGCAGGACTTCACAGAAATTCGAAAATATACCCAAACTCGCAAATGTAAGCACAAAACTAAACAGGCCAGCTGAACCTTCGATTTGCTGGGGTTTAAACAGCCGATAACGATAGCACCCTCAAGTTTGAAAGAACACCCCCGGCCTATCGAAAGAGCTTGCTGTTAAGATAAGGGAAATTATTTTAGCGTATAATGTGGGCACAGCAAAATCTAAATTAAAAACAAAATTTGATTATCGGTTGGACAGATAGACATAGATAGCTTTTGATTGTTTGTTCAAGTCAATTACAAATTATTAAAGCCCACAACACTCGTTCGATCGAAAACTTTATCTTTTGCCCATCGGTCTATCTTTAGATTTTCCACTGGTTTTTGCCACATTTTACAATTGCGTTAATTTGGTCAATTTTCTTAATTTTAAAAATGTTTATACCTATCGTACACATAGGTACAAAGAGTTTTAAAGTCGGAGGACACGACTTTAGCTTTTCCACATGCTTCTTTACTATCCTATGGTTTTAATGCTAGTAGGCTATGTTTATCTATTTACTAGCTCTTGAGATATAAATCTAATCTAATCTAAGCTTGAAACACATGAATACATATAGTAAACAGACTAAACATATCCGGTTCCCCTCTTTTCTGTGTGGTATGAATTGTTTGATAATGAAGTGGTCATTACCCCATTTGGAGCAATATCACAGTCCTATAATTGATTCTATTTAAAGACTAGCTTATATTTTGCACGTTTTTCTTCTTCTTCACTCCAAAATTATCCACTCATTCAACCACACACGCCTAGCTATTTATGCTTGACATTTTGAACTTGACTCACAAGTTTCAGGCGTTGATATACGCGCAAAATAATGACCAACAAGATGACCAAAAGCGCAATTTCAATTACTATGTCCATAATTATGGAAAAACTATCCAAAATACTGAGTAGCTAGCTAGTAGATGCAGGTGCAAAAACTTTGACTGAGTGACTGACTGGCTGACTGCCATATCGAATGGGACGATCACGGCTGGATTCTACGTACAAATGTTCCAATGATAAAATGTTTTCGTGTATTTGTGTGTGTGTCTATATGGAAGAGCTTGTGCAACATATGGCGGATCAGACGTGGTCTTACACACCCATGCACAAATGTTTTTGCGGCGGATTATATTTCATTCCGTCACTGGAAGAAAGAGCACCTCGTCAAACAGACTAGGTGGCTTGACAAAAGAGGGAAGCTTAGTTGGCTGGAATTTTAGTTGAGAGACCGAAAGCTTGACATTGAGCGCAAATACATATGTACATATATAGTATATATATGGCCATTATGATTTATCATAAAAGCTACACGACTGTTCCAATTGAGCGTGTGTAGATGGCGTGCCAAGAGGTCGGCTTTGAATTTACAAAAGGTCGGGTACGTACGCACGTAACTATGTACATATGTATGTATGTAACTGTACAGAAATAGGCCAAGAAAAATGGGACAACATCCATCGAGGCTTGACCAAACCGGCGAAGGGTTGTTCAAGTTCGATGGACGGTTTAAATGTCCATCAAAATGAAGTCAAGCATAAAATTAACGTATACTAATTACAAACAATTAAAAGATAATAAAAATTATAAAATGTTATATTATACAAGCCAGACATAGTATAAGTTTAAAGCGCGCAATCAGGCAGACAACAAAAATAGCAAGAATAAAACAAAGCACAAATTAAAGCCGAGTACAAAGTTCAGGTATTTAACAGAGCAATTTAACAGATCCACTGCAAAATTTTGTACCCCGCTGCTAATGCGGTGCTGCTTCTTTAGTAATGTTAGTGAACTGTTAGTAGAAATGCAAATGTTATGCCAATTTCAAGCTTCAATTTGAATGCATAATTAATTGAAAAATTATAGGGTCTCATTATAGGTTAAATTGTTGAACGAGCTGAATTGGATGGGTAAAGAATTAAGCTAATTATATTATGTTTAACATAATTACCTGCAACGGCGTTTGCAGGCTTGAGAAATTTCTATATAACGGGCGTTGCATTGACTCGCTCTGCCGCAGCAGCCCTAGCCCCTTGCCGCCGGAGAAGGTGTAGGAGCTTGGAGCATTGTGGCCTTTGCTGAAACTGTTGTCGGCGTAGAGATTGTCGAACGGCGCAGCAATGCTGCGGCTATTTTGTGCTGTTGCGTTGATATTTGCCGAATGAGTGGGGGGGTGTGTGTGTGTGTTTGCGTACATGTGTGTGCGTGAAAAGGACAAAGAACGCAAGTATATATGTATGTATGTACGTATATAATATAAACAATAACACATTTCCATTAAACAACTAAATAAATTACCACCAAATGAAAGACCCACGGCCAATGTTGCGGCTGTGCGGCCTGCCGCAAAGGGCAATTTTATTGATTTTTTCGATGCAGTTGCGTAAAATGCAGTGCGGTAGAAGAAATGCGAAGCCATGTTGCGTGTAGAACGGCACAAACTGTAAATACGACACACAGGCATGTTTAAAAGATTTTTATTGGCATGTATGCTTGTATGTATGTTGCAACGACGCTGCACCTGCACATACACACACACCAATACACACACATTCACTCACACACAGATATTGCATTTTTTGAAAAAAGCGTACTTTGGACTTTAGCGGTCGCTGCCATTGCCGCTAACTTGGCTGCAGACGGGTTTAATTTATAATAAATTGATATAAATATGTATAAGTGTATGCACAGACGTGAGGAGGATGTGTGTGAATTTATCTGCCAATGGTTTGAATTTGGATTGCTAAAGTGATCGGCCACGCACAACTGCGCAGCACTTACACTTTCGACTATGCTAAACGCGTTCTATTTTTTGCGACTATCCCAGTGTGGACGATGGTAACTAAATAACAAAAAATGTATGTATATTTATGAGAACGCCACAAAAACTTCACCCGCCGCGTACGTTGTTGTTGTTCCAAGCGAATGAAAACAACTGATTACATAGTGTTGAAAAGCTCTAAAAAATCAAAATAGCGTCGATGACCAAAGGTACATATCTTTATTAAACTGAAAAAACCTATTCTTTTAGATGTACTTATTTTAAAAAAAATTATCTTAAATTTTTAAAATTAATTAAACTTAAAAAACTTTTACAATCTATAATATAGGACAATAAGAAGTATTGCAATTAAATATAATATAGCACAACTGGAAATATATTAATAAATCGGTGTCAGAAAAATTCATTGGAACTACTACTTTTACACAAGTGTCTCCGCTTTAGTCGATTTATAAATTAGCTATGCAATTTTTTAATTACTTGCCTACTAGATATATCAAAATATAACCTCTTAACTATGTATAATAAATAACCCTCTAATCCTCTATTGTAAAGGTTTGTTCTGTTCCATGAACGTGCTTTCGATCTGTTAGAATGCTTAAAGACATTCGATTTTCTTTAAATTCCCCTTTCATGATTTCCTCGACATTGCAAAACTGAATATCAGGCTGGAGAACAAAATAAATTAAAATAAAATAGTTTTTTAATAAACTTTAAACTTATGACGTTTCTCTAACCATCTATGTATTTGATTAAATTATTGTGCAGCCATTTTAGCATTCAGTTGGCTCAAATCAACGCCCAGTTCTATAAGACGCTTTTCCTGCTCTTTGGTGTCCAAGCCGTGCTCTTTATTGTATTTGTAGTTGACCGTTAGCTGCACCTCTTCTAATCCACTCACGTGGTCGTACAAATCTCCCTCTAGTCGCTGATCAACGTCGCTCTCCTCGCGCAAAACGCAAAAATAGAGCAGAAAGATGCCCAGGCTGAAGGAGATTACGTAGGGCTGGTACCACAGCGCCTCATCGCTGCCCCCACTGCGAGTGTCGCGCGCACGCCAAGTAGCCGCCTGGCTTCCAAAGAATTTTATAGGATCGTTTGTATTTTGCTGTTCTCCGGCTTTATCTTCAATTGGCAATTTTTGTGCGAAACACCGAGCCGCAGAAACAGAAGTCGGATGAATTGGTCTATAAAATATATTAAAATATTATTTTAAACTATTTTTATTGCTAGTGCGAATACAAGCTTACTTTATACCACTTCCCTTTCTCAATAATCGCAACATTTTAAATGCTTTTAATGTATCAAATACAATGAACAAAATTTCATAACAAATGAGAAACAGCTGTGCGTCGAAATTTCTTGCAGTGCTGACAATTTACTTGCAGTTCTCAACGGTCAATCAACACTACGATACTCCCTACTGACTCTTCTTTAATAAGGATATTAGAAGTCAACAATAAAATAATTACAGAAATAGTGTAAATTAAATATGCAAAAAAATTAAAAATACTTTGTAAACAGTCAACAGCGAACAACAGATACAAATTTAAAAACTAATAGTGCTGCCAATTTATCTTCTGCAAAGCAACCCTACGCTCTACTCTACCTGCGCATCTGTTCTTATGCCACACGTGTTGCGGATTCTAAACGCGCGCTATCTATTTTTCGTTTAATCAAAATGGGTGCAACAAAGAACATAGATTTGATTGGCACCATTGAAGATGACGCCGAAGTGGAAAATTTATCTGAGGATTCCGATGCCGAAGTGGAGGTAAGTTGCAATAAGTTGTTAAATAGTGTAACAGAGATTTTAAATATAATACCAACCGGCACAGTATCAACCTACGAAGTTGCGCCACAAAAAGATAACCGAATTCGAAAAAGGTTTCGAATTTGTCAGTTCCGTCAAGGAGTACAACCAGGACACTTGGGACGATCTAATGAAATATGTGAAGCGCAAGGCGCGGACAAAAACGGATGATAAAATTGCAGCACGGCTGCAGAAACGCGAAGGCGTTGCAGCAACGGCCAAAGATGCTGAAGAAAGTGATGAGGAGCTGGAACTGTCTGATGACGAGCTCAAGCACGATAACCTGCGACTGCGGGAGAAAAAACAGAGCAAGAACAAGAAGAAGAAAAGGCAAATTGACGACGATGATGAAGAAGAGGAAGGGGAAAAAATGCAATTCGATGATACGGTGGAGAGCAATGAACAGATTACCTCATTCTATCAAATGAACCTCTCTCGTCCATTAATGCGAGCCATCGGTGTGCTAGGCTACATTTACCCCACTCCAATTCAGGCCTCTACCATACCGGTTGCTTTATTAGGTCGAGACATATGCGGCTGCGCAGCCACGGGTACGGGTAAAACTGCAGCATATATGCTGCCCACAGTAGAGCGTCTATTATATAGACCGTTGAACAACAAGACCGTCACACGTGTGCTCGTTTTGGTGCCAACGCGTGAGTTGGGCGCCCAAGTCTATCAGGTCACTAAACAGCTCTGTCAGTTCACAACCATTGATGTAGGTTTGGCAATCGGCGGCTTGGATGTTAAGGCACAGGAAGCGGTGTTGCGTCAAAGCCCAGATGTGGTCATTGCCACACCTGGTCGTCTAATCGATCACATTAAGAATACACCCAGCTTTAGTTTGGATTCTATAGAGGTGAGTCAGTCTCTTCTTTTAAAATGTTTCCATAATGCTGTGATTATATCCGTCCTTGCGCACTGAGCCTTCTGGCTGTGTAGATAGTGCTATGGCTCTTGAGTCTGCTGAGCAGATGCAAGCTGAGCGAAAATAGTTTCTTAAATATTTAAAACGGCATAGTTCCATACTAATCTGCCTCTGTTTTACTCCTAGGTGCTCATTTTGGACGAAGCTGATCGTATGTTGGACGAGTACTTTGCTGAGCAAATGAAAGAAATCATTAACTCCTGTTCGAAGACACGACAGACTATGCTCTTTTCAGCTACCATGAGCGAGCAAGTGAAGGACTTAGCTGCCGTATCCCTAGACAAACCGGTCAAGGTGTTTGTAAATAATAATCAACAGGTAGCCTTTAATTTGCGCCAGGAATTTATACGTATTCGTGAAGATAAGGAGGGCGATCGTGAGCCCATCCTTGCCAGCTTGATATGCCGCACCTTTCACGATCATTGCATGGTCTTTGTGCAGACCAAGAAACAAGCACACAGACTTCATATACTTCTTGGTTTGCTTGGCGTGCGGGCTGGCGAATTACATGGAAATCTGACGCAGCAGCAACGCTTGGAATCCCTTAAAAAGTTTAAGGAGGAGCAGATCGATGTGCTCATTGCAACAGATGTGGCAGCACGTGGATTGGACATTGTGGGAGTGAAGACAGTCATAAATTTTGTAATGCCCATTACCACTGAGCATTATATTCATCGCGTAGGACGTACAGCACGTGCAGGACGTGCGGGTATATCAGTCTCACTTGCTGGCGAAAAGGAGCGCAAGATTGTTAAGGATATTATCAAAAATGCCGAGAGCAGTGTGAAGAATCGCATTATACCACCAGAAATCATAGAGAAGTACCGCAATAAACTTACAGCATTGGAACCAGAGATTCGTAAGCAGACTTTAATATCACCATATTTTGTAAATACTTTATGTCTAATCCCAAACAGAGAACATTCTTGATGAGGAACAGGCTGAACGTCAACTCGCCAAAACAGAGCAACAACTATCGAAGACAGAGCGGAAGCTTTTGGGACAAAACAATGAGAGGCGGACTTGGTTCCAAACAAAGAAACAGCGAGAGGAAGAGAAGGAACGGCTGTCGCTGACCACTCCCGATGAAAATTCAAAGACAGCGGCCGGAAAAGCAAAGGGTGCTATCAAACGTAAGCGCCCCGAATACGGAGGCGATGGTGAGGATGGTCCACCAGTCAAGGAGCTTGAGGCCAAGCGAAAAAAGAAGAAGGAAGAACCGAGAAGAAAAACGCCCGAGCAGTTGGCCAAAGAACGTGCCATGAAAGAAATTGAGAAAGTGTCATTGGTGCGTGCCAAAATGGCAAAACTGCGCAAACGACCGGGCAAACTGGGAGCCACCTCAGATGTCCCCAGGCATGTTGGAGCAGGAGGAGGAGGAAAACCCAAAAGACGTGGCGGTCAGTCCGCTTTTACAAATGATTTGACCGATGTTAGTCGCGGCGGTGCACTCCGGTTAAGGTATGTTATATTACAGATTATATTAGTTTATATGTTCATTATTTTAAAATTTCTTTATAGATCCGAGGCTAATCGTCACCAGAAAATGAGCAAAATTGCGGCAAAGAAGAAAATAAGCAGCGTTAAATTAACCAACAAAGCAGGCAAAAATAAATTCAACAAAGGCAAAAACTTTGGAGGTCCGCGCCATGCAAAAAAGGGTAGAAATAAATAAATGCAAATGTATATAAAATAATAATAAATAACTAATATCAAATATTTTTTTGGATAACGTTCAAAATAGACAGTTTAGAATTTCTTTTAGGATCAAACATTGCCGACACTTCAAGTTTTTAAATGGCTTGGGATTATTTAAAATAACCGTTATATTCTAGTGATGCCAATCTGTTGGAAGCTCGCTCAGCTGCGGCGTTAAGTTGGGTGCGACAGGTTCTCGATGTCATTTTTGTTTGGTTTTTCGTTCGGTACGCATTTTTGTTAATGTTGGAAATGTTTTGGGAAAAGTGAATTTTTTAACGCCTAAACATAAAATGACCAAAATGCATTGCACTTATGGCCCCCCGCCAGATTCGGATTCAGATGAAAGCTATGATGGTTTCTACTTTGATACAAATGAGACGGTAAGCGAGCTCCGCCATTGCGTGCCTCATCTACAAGTAAAGCATTTTTCCCAATTTGCCGCAGTTTAAACGCGAGAGGCCCAAATCATATATACCCAAAGACCAAAAACTCTATGATGCACTGAAGGATGGCGATGTGGAAGTGGTGAGCGCGGAAATCGACGCTCTTAGTATTCATGTGGACGATTCCGTGCGTGGAGGCTTTACAATGTTACTGCATGCCTGCGCTGAAGGACACTACAATTTAGCCGAGTACTTGATTGTGAAGCGGGGCGCCAATGTCAATAAGCAGGTAGACTCTGACATGCCGCTAATGAAAGCCTGCGATTGTCGTCGCAACGAACCGCAACTGGTCGAGAGATTAGTAAATCTACTGCTACGCAGTGGGGCCGTCATAAATGTATCGGATAAATATGGCATGACACCGTTTATGTTCGCCTGCCGTAATGGATATACGAGCGTTGTGCGGCTTCTGCTCAAGGACGTATCTTTCGATGCCGTTGACAATCAAGGTTGTACCTCAATTTTTCACGCCGTTGAGATGAATCGGCCCGATATTGTCAAGTTGTTGGTGGACGCTGGCGTTAATGCGACAATAGCAAATAATAAGGGCTATACCCCCACACAGGTGGCCGAATTTCATGGATTCTATGACCTACTCGACATCTTGCCGCGAAAAAGCACAAGCTACCAAGTGCCATCCCAATTTTTGGGTTACAGCAAGTTGAGTGATCACATACCAAGAATTTTTCTGAAAACGGAATGTCCCGAGTACTTTCAGGACTTGAATACTATTCTGTACTCGATCAACATGCAGAATATGTTGGAACATTTTGCCAAGGCGCGCGTTTCGTTGGGCGAATTTCTAGTAATGGATGAAAAGAAGTTACAAGACGTGGGCATTGAAATGCCTCTCTACCGTAATAAGATTATGAAGGGCATATTGGAGTGAGTATGCATTAAACGTGGTTAATAATTTACGCATATATTTAACAAATTTTTACATGCGATAGTTTTCATCTGCATCATTGGTCCAAAAAGTCCATTGCGCGCATCAAAAAGGACGGCATGAATAAGTAGGTTGAGAAATACCGCATAACAAAAGTTGTATCTAACCCGCCCTCTTTCGATTGCAGCTTCTATGAAATCCTCATGATCACTGGCAATCACCTGCAGCATTTGGTCATCCTACAGTCCTCCATACGTTTTGTTATTCGCAATCAAGAGGCTGGCAATTTCGGTAAACTAACCGAGCTGCAACTGGCTAACTTCCAAAGCAATTTAAAGGCATATCGTGAGGTCATTAACGATCTCAAAAAGACCGTAAAATACGTAAGTAGGCGAGTTATTTATTTAACATTTATTTACCACCAATATCTATTCACAGCTGGCATCTTTTAGTCCACCGAAGAATCCGCTTCATATCGACTACAATGAAATTTTGGCACAACGCAAACGCAACAAAGTGCGTAAAATTTTCAAATACACAACAATTATTCTAGGAATCTCAGTTTTTGTTTGCTTGAAGTGCAAATTTCTTTTCTAAACACAAACCGTATTATTAGTTCACAAAACTTTTGTGAATCGAATACAGTACAAAAATACACTGAAGCGTTCCTTTCCATTAAGAATTTCAAAAATTCCATTAAGTATATGCAAGTTAATCAAAATATGTTAAACCTTTTCGAATAGAGAGCTTACTGCTTAAACACCAATCTTTTGAATTTATATGATTGTTGAAGCTTGAAGTTAAATGAGTTAATAAATAAACGTTGATGTTTAAATATTAAATATGCGTTTAAAAAGATGATCCTTGATTTTCTGAGCATGAATTACTGTTTAAAAGCTCGTTTTTCTGTGATATACATATACTTTTAAAAAACTATAATTCACCATACTGTGGAGATAAAGTGCGAGTCCGCGCTTCATTCTGTTTTGCGCATCAAGCGCTCACACAAATGCACATAAGTTGGCAGCCCCAACGGTTTAGTATTTTGTTTACAATTTTTTTAGCACCATACGTTTCTTTGGCGCTATGCAGGAGCCGGGCGTTATAAAAAGACTTGATGAGGCAGTTGTTAATAGAATAGCCGCTGGCGAAATAATTCAGCGTCCAGCCAATGCGCTTAAGGAGCTATTGGAAAACAGGTAAAAGGTTAATAATAATATCGTTGGAAAAATCACTAAAACTCGACTTTCAGTTTGGATGCTAAGTCGAACTATATTCAGGTAATTAATCCAAATACTAAATAGATTAGTGTATTAATGAAGTAAATATTAGGTAACTATCAAGTCTGGGGGCTTGAAGCTGCTCCAGATCCAGGATAATGGCACTGGCATACGTAAAGAGGATTTAGCAATTGTTTGTGAACGCTTCACTACCTCCAAGCTAAACAAATTTGAGGATCTGACGGAAATCGCTACATTCGGATTCCGGGGCGAGGCGTTAGCCAGCATCAGTCACGTGGCCCATTTGACCATACAGACAAAGACGGCGCAGGAGCGTTGTGGATACAAAGCTAGCTATGCGGACAGCAAGTTGCTGGCAGCTCCCAAACCATGTGCTGGAAATCAGGGCACCATCATCACCATTGAGGATTTGTTCTATAATATGCCCCAACGAAGACAGGTGCTGAAATCACCAGCCGAAGAGCAACAAAAGGTTTCCGATGTTCTATCCAAATATGCCGTTCATAATCCCCATGTGGGTTTCACACTCAAGCGGCATGGAGAGCCGCCATCGGTGAAAACGCAGGCTGGCACCACCCGTGCCGAGAATATACGCCTAATTTATGGAGCAGCCATAGCCAAGGAACTGCTCGAGTTTACCTATGAGGATGCCCTGCTTAGGTTTGAGGTTCATTGCCTCATGACTCAGGTGAATTATGCAGCCAAGAAGGGCATGCTCCTGCTCTTCATAAATGAGCGGTTGGTGGAATCTGCACGTGAGTGTTTCCTTTATTATTAGTCCCAACAATATCTTAACTTTAAAGACATTTGCTTAAGTTGGCTCCGTTTTGCATTCCAGCTCTCAAAGGAGCTGTCGATGCGGTTTATGCCAGTTACTTACCAAAGGGAAGTCATCCATTCGTCTACATGAGCCTAAAGCTGCCGCCGCACAATATCGATGTCAATGTCCATCCCACCAAGCACGAAGTCCACTTCCTCTACGAGGATGAAATTATTGAGAAGTTGAAAGGTCAAGTGGAGGCTCAATTACTCGGCAGTAATGCAACCCGTAGTTTCTACAAGCAACTAAAACTGCCGGGTGTGGCAGAGTCGGAGGAAGACACAAAAGAGAAAAGTGTAATGCGAATTTATGATAAGGATTTGGTGCGAACTGATTCACGTGAGCAAAAATTGGATAAGTTTTTGCAGCCATTAGTACAAAATGTTTCGGGACTGTCGGGCAGTTCCATGAGTTCTTCAGAGCCTTCACAGGAGGAAAGTTTTCGCCAGATTGCAGCACGTAAATCGAAGGAGGTGCGTCTCAGCAGCGTGCTGGACATGCAGCAGAAACTGGAACACCAATGCCATGTCCAGCTGCGCAGCATGCTCAAGCAATTGGTCTATGTTGGCTGTGTGGATGCCCGTCACTCGCTTTTCCAGTACGAGACTCGTCTCTACATGTGCGATATGTTCGCTTTTGGAGAGGAACTTTTCTACCAACGACTAGTCTATGAGTTTCAAAATTGCGCTCAGATTACAGTAACGCCACCATTAGCTATTAAGGAACTGTTACTGGTGGCGCTAGATAGTGCAGCTGCCGGGTGGACGGCCGAGGATGGGGATAAGCAAGAGTTGGCAACCAGTGCCACCGGCATATTGCAAGAAAAGGCGCCCATTATGAAAGAGTATTTTTCTCTGCGCATCTCGGAAGACGGATATTTGGAATCTTTGCCTGCCCTGCTGCCCAAACATATGCCCAGCAAGGCGCAATTGCCACTTTATTTGCTGCGTCTGGCCACGGAGGTTGAATGGGAACAGGAGGCGCCATGCTTCGAAACATTTTGCCGTGAGACGGCGCGCTATTATGCCCAAGTGGAGTTTGAAGACAGTGCGGATGTGAAGAAACAGAGGTGGCAAGTGGAACATGTAATGTATCCAGCATTCAAGAAGTTCCTATTGCCCCCGCAACGATTAAATAAAAAACTCTATGAGCTGACTAGCCTGTCAAAATTGTATAAAGTATTTGAGCGCTGTTAGTAGAAAGATGCATGCGATTTATCTAATCAGGAATAAGCTACAAATCCTATGGATAACAACATTTTGCATTTGATTATACATTAAAAGTCTAAAAAGCATAAAGGCCTAGATCTGATTAGATTATTTAGATTATTACAATTTATGGTCAGGTATTGTGTAATAGAATTAATAAAGTTGAAAGTTGTTATTTTAATGAGCAGTTCACATTTTTATTCAACAACAATTAACAAAAGGATTTTTTGGTCATAATGTAGAGAAGGCCAATGTTAAGCTGGAGGCATATCTATTGATTATATTGGACATGTGTATACTACTAGTTAAAATAGGATCGAACATAACCTAAGCTTAAAAATAAGCTAAGTATTGGATGCTAGAGTTTTGTTGAGGTAGGGCTGAACAATGCAAAATTTGTAATGCTTTAGTTTAGATCCGGCTGGCGAAAGCGCGTCACCCGCTCCGCATTCTTGACATGCTCCTTGAGTAGCCGCATTATTTCTGTATCGTATTCTGGCGGGGTAGGCTTCACGCCGGTGGCCCAGTAGAAGATGTCCCAATCGTTGCTGACGCCATTGATGAGCTGATCATAGATTGCCGTTTGTTCCTCATTAAAATCGTTCAGGTACTTCGCCACAAAGGTGCTAAGCAGCAGATCATTCTCGAGCATGCCGCGTTTGCGGGATTGGTAGATCAAGCTAGTTAAGCAATATGGAAATGGAATTGCATATACATATGTACATATATCCAGCATATGAAGGAAGAGCACTACTCACCGCTGTTTGCGTCTGGCAAGCGGCTCATTTGGACGCGCTGGATACTCGGGAATGGGCAAATGGTCGGGGTCGTCAAAGTCCACGATGACGTCATTTATGGGTGTGAAAAAGGGCTTCTCCTTTCCTGCGTTGGACGAGCAATTGCGACGCCATGGCATCAGCAGCCAACGTGAAATGTCACGCGTCAACTTCAGCAAACCAATTTTTCATTATGCAACAAAATTGGCATCAAAAAGGACGTGCTCACTTACCGTTAATTGACGCAACATTGTTTGTAATGTATGGCTGTATAGTTTTAGTTGAGAATTTCAGAATTTTTCCAGCAATTTTGCTTGGTTTTGTTTACGGCCAAAGTTATATTTTGAAGAAAATAAATAACAGCTGACTACCGGCTTTGAGAAAGTGCCAAATATGCCAACAAAATGCCAAACGCCTACTTTTCCTAAACAGCTGTGCGAATGGCAGCTCAAAACTTGTTTGCCAACGAGTGGTCAGTCTCTCTTCGGTTTTCGTGGTGTTCGCGTGAGGCGGAATTGCGCTTGTCTGTGAAAGAAAGCCATCGCTTCCGTATAAAAAAGAAAATTTTAATTCGAAAATTATGTGAAAATGGTGCTAAAATTTGTGTCAAATTGTATGTTAATGTAAAAGGCATACATTTAGTAATTCGACGGCGATATTTATTTGTTTTAAGTTCGAAAAAAAGTCTGTAACATACGCCGATTTAATGTGTGTTAGTGTTTTATGCATGCAATTGCGTGCGTTTGTGTATGTGTGTGTAGATTTGTTATTCGCGCGGCAAATGTGCAATTGAAATCAAAAATAAGTAAACGGTAGCTAAAATGTTAAGCTCAAATTAAAAAAAAACCATCATCTTACGCCAATGTTTTAAAGAAAACCCAGAAAATTCGTCGTTTGCTTGCTAGGGTCGGCCAGTGTGTTTGTTTTTTATTTGTGGGTTTTTGCAAAGTCAAAAACTAAAGAGCCGAAACGAACTGCAAAAGCAAAGTAAGCGGCAAGATGCCGGCAACAACAAAACTATGGTTTTTGTTGTTGTTGTTAGTTTGTATGCGGTCGCAGTTGGCGTTGTCATCGCCGCAGCCGAGGCAACTGTCGCTGCACCAGCAACAGGAGTCCACAACAACATTGAAGCCGTTGGCCGAGAAAGGTACGTAACAAGGCATGCCACATTTTACAAATACATGCACATACACATACATACATATGTATATGCATGCGTGTACTACATACATACTTGTGTTGGCAGAAAATACACATAAATATGTATGTGTATGCTGCCATGCTTTATCTCTTTTGGCTGTTGCCTAATTGTTGTTAATCTGCGGTGCATTAACCTTGTGCTGTCAGAACCTCGCAATCGAAATCGACGTCGACGTCGACGACAACGTTGATGGCAACGTCAGCCACGCCATGGACATGGACATGGCTTGAGTAAACAAACGTGCACACAAACTGCTCTCCCCCCTCTCAATTATGTCTCTCACCACGCTCTCTCACCCCAGAAATAACAACAGTTCGACTGGCCTCTGTACACTTTTTGTTATGCAAATTCCCTGCTTTTTGTTTCGGCTAAAAATACCACAACAAAAATATGCAAAACAATTTGTTATTGTTATTTTTGGATTCGCATGGAATTTTCGTAGCCGGTGCAAATGAATGGACGCGAAAATATTTCTGCACCACTGCATCAAAAACGCCAAAAAATTTGAGAAAAAAATGTTTCTTTACCTCTTTATAAGGACAATACTAATCGATACTTTCAAAATAGTTGTATTCAACAGAATTCACACACAATCCTACTACTTCATCTAATAATTATGATAGTTTACTGTTTAAATGAATTACTACAATGGGATTCAATTTAAATAAAATCGATTTAGTTGTTGCTCAACAATGTTTACATACTTACAAGTATTTATGTATTTGAATCTATTCCTCTGAGACGAAAACTATTAACCTCTTCATTATTCCGATTCTTCTGATGTTTAGAGAGCAAGTGTCAAGAACGGGCGAATGTTCTAGTTCGATGTGAGCAATTAGTGATGTTTGACAACAAATTACAAATTACATTCATTTGAAAAATAAAAAGGACACATCGGGGTTAAAAAAAAAAAAATACAGTTCAGCTGATTCCAAATTAATTTTGCAATGAGCATTTGTTTGAACCGCAAATAAACCAAGTCAGAGCCAACAAAAGGAAAACACGTATTTCCATAACTTCACCCTGTGCAACAACATAGGACAGTTTATTTACAATTTCTTGAAGGTTAAGCTAAGGCTAAGTGAAACTTCTACAAGTTTCTGATCAACAAGGACATTGGCATATTCATGGGGAAGTTGATTTAGATGGAATGAGTCGCTCTCTCTAGAGTTATAGTCATGTCCATTGTCATATGCATTGCTGACTTTAATGTACAAGTAATACTTGCGTTCCAGTAAAAAGTTTGGTGTAAAGGGTATATTTACTAATCCCGCACTGCTTCTTTACATTTCGGTATACAAAAAGTTGTTGAATATAATGACTATTCCTATGCGAAATGAAACCAGTTCTGGTTTCCCCACATGTTCAAACACTATTTGTCAGCTATTTCTGTGATTTCATATTTTTCTCAATCATAAATTAATCATTAAATCAAGTTTATTTAACAAAATTAATGACTGTCCACGATGGACAGATTTAAATGAAAACACTCTGCTAATACAAAAAAATAATATATTTTTCTCAAAGCTGTTATATCTGCTAGATATCGATGTGCATTGAATCAACCAATTTTTGGTATGCAGTAAGGAAAACGCTTTCCTGCTATCTTCATCAGCGCCCAGTTTGTTGATCTTCTACCCTTCAAAACTAAGATCGACTTTGTTATCCGAAAACCACCTTTTCATAACGAATCAGAGTCTAGATGTCATTCATTGTCTCCTCAATACGATATATGGGGCCAATACATTGGCAGTAAATGCTTCCCAAACTATACTTGGCTTGGGAGCCGTAGGCAGGGTAAAAAACAGTTGCATTTAATCTCAGTCGACCAGGGAAAACGTAACCTCCGAAAAGTTACCTCCTAATAACAATCTAACACTGTTCTGGATCTTTTTTCTTTTACATGGATTTTAATGAAACTTTTACGAGTTGTAGACGTGTTGCCTTCTATAGAAAACTCTGCATCGACGTAAGTGGTGTCTCACAGATCTTGACATATTTCTTTCAAGAGTTTGCGATATTTTTTGGATTAACTCTGATAAATAACACTTTTGTGTGTTAGATCTGAAAGGTGAATCAAAATATATATGCTCATACGTACCATCAAATAGAATACTATATAGTTCGAGAGTAAAAGTATCTACACAAAGGGCTTACCCTAATTCTTTGACAAATACATTATTGACATATGTACTGGTACTGTGTACATGTTGATCGTAATGTCCACATGGAGGAACCCCACACAGCTGTCGGAAAGAATGCGAACAGCTGCGCCTGAAAACCAAATCAAACGCTACCTACCCCTTCCTAGAAGGTTTCTGCTGTCAACGGCTACGGCATCATAAACCACTCATTGCAATTCCATAACACTTTTGTTCCCAAACAATAGCAACAACAACAGGAGCTGCGAAAAAAAGGAATAAATTTAAATAAATATGTGTAGCGGCAATTTCTAAGTTGGCATCTCCGAGGCAGTTCATTGGGGCCGCATTATGCATGCACATGCGCTCCAAATGCCAACACAGGGCCGGGGGCCGGGGGCCGGGGATGGCACTGGGACTGGCCTGCATATGAACAAGTCAACAAAGCTAGCGACTTACAAACACACTCACACACACGCGCAGAAACGCACGCGCCCGCGCCTTTTAAGATCGGGCAGAAAAAAAACAAACATTAAAGTAAGCATTTCCTCATTGAGGCGCAGCCAGGCGAACAAAGTAAACATACAGACAGAGAGACAGACAAACAAACTGTGCGACAATTTAAGTGAGAAAAATGTACACACATTTTATGTACATATGTATGTACTCGTATGTATGTATAGCACAAACAAACATGCCATACATTCATGCAGCAAATACTTCGCCAGCGCATTTTCATGAAAAACATGCCAGCTGAGAAATCAATCAAAATTGTTGGTGGCAGCAAGAAGCAAGATTATTAAAAAAAACCATATAAATAAACAAAGACTGTAAAACAGTCGGTTAAAATTATTTTGCATGAAAATAGAAAAAGGACAAGACAGAATAATAATGCAAGCCCGACATTAAAATACTCTGCACCCAAACAAACTTCTGGCTTCACGAGTTTATTTATTTATTTGAATTCCCCCACTACAGAATTTCATAAATACTGTCCACATTTGCAAAGCTACAAAACCAGATTTTGTACAAGTAATGAATACATTCTCTACTTTAGTTTAAAATTGTATCTAAATCAGTTGTCTGTTGTTACAGTTCTGGTTAGCGCTTCTTTTTCTTCTTTTTCCTTCTGCATATAGCATTCTCTCATGATAATTATCTAGTTTAAGGGAAACAGTTTCTTCGACATTGATTTCTGACACCTCAATGGATAAAGTGTTAATAGTTCAAATAAAAAGTACACTTGCTTTCCTTCGTAGCCATTTTAAGCTGTCTCATCATTTTGTGGGATCTTTCAAGACTCTTTTGCTTAACAGTGATGGCCAAACAATTTACTGAAGACATATCGAATTTCTACGGAACAGTTCTTTTCATGATCCTCGCAGACTGAAATATGGACTTTTTGCTGGTCCAAATATGGAAGTATGGCTCGAGGGGAAAACTGCACTTAATCTCGGAAGTTATCTCACAGACATAAGCGCATTTTGACTTAAAGAATGACGTGGAAAATAAATGACAATTTAACGTCTTTATTCGTAACACACATAATTATAGAATGTCCCCAGGAAATTCTCCACAGTTATCTGTGGAAATGCCTTTCAGTCTTTATTTGTAATCCCTCGACTTCTATATTGCAGCAAAGTTAATACCTTTTTTCAATTTTACACAGAAAGTGAACAATCTTTTCTGCTAGACTTTTACATCTTAAATATGGTCTTTGAAAGTTACGGAAAAATGAACAAAAAATTAAGGTTTTGGTTTCATATTTCTATTCCTTTATGTACTTACGCATCCACGCTTTTTCTCTCTCTCTGCGCCTCTTTAACCCTCAATAGCCCTCTCTCCAATCTCAGTCTCTCACGCCTCTCTCCTCGCCCTCCCACCAACTACTGTAGTGGAAAGTGTAAACATCCCGTGCTACGAGTTGCTTGCAGCAATTTGCCTTTGCAAAAATCATGAAGCTTTGTTGAAGTGTGCCGCACTCTGAGCATGCCCCGCGGGTCCGTGCACCAAGAGGGGTGACATTTTCCAGTGAGCCTGCATTTGCAATGCAACCCTCCTGGTATACAATGGACCAGCTACGAATCCGCCCCTTGGGCTGGCGGAAATATTGCGGAAATCGTTTATCATGTCGCCAATGGCGGTGTTTTAATTTTAATTGTTGCAGCATGGCCAACCGTTCGGTACGAAGCCGCTAAATGTTGTCAAAGTTGTTGTCTTTATAATTTGTATACCGTTGTCATTGCTGCTGCTGTTGTTGTTCTTGTTGTTGCTATTGCTGCTGGGGACGCACACTCCGGACTATGCAAGTACCTGACGCACCTTTGAACGTTCCCATTTAGGTGTCTCGCTTTGTGTTTGTGGCGCTCGCCTCAAGTTCAAGAGCAAACGATAACCTGCAAGCAAACTTACAAACATACATATGTACATATGTATGTACAGGCGATTAAGTAACAACAACAACTACATCAACAGCAGCTACAGCAATAAGTAGACGAACTAAACGCCAACAACAAACAAGTTTTTGAACACGCACAGACATACTCGCACACACACACACACATAGGCACACACACAGACACACACACACACGAGCGCATACGCATAAGTCACACCTGCTTAAGGCAGGCAAACAAAAGCAAATGAAAAAGAACAGCAACAAATACATATGTATGTATGTAGGTATGTACATACATATGTGTATCTATACTCGTATACAAACAAGTAAAAAAGCTAAAGTCGGGTGTCCCGACTTTGAAATACTCTGTACATATGTTTACAATAATTATAGAAAATAAAAAAAAA